AACTGGGAATAGTTCATGTCCACAGACTGCACAACAAAATGCAATATGGTAATCAAACATAAACTTCAACCAATAAAAAAGGTTCAAACTTTAGTGACAGGTTGGTGTTCTCATCCATTTTGTCACAGTGTTGTATAGGATTTTCAAAATATTTATGGGATTTGGAGCTGAATGAAATATAAATGTGCTGGGATATACTGTGCCAGGGCTGGGTGTGAAAGAAATTTGGGTGACTCATTAAGCTGAAGTACCTCAGAAAGGCAAAATAACAGTGAAACGCCTCATTAAAGTTGTTTTTAAGTGGTTTTAACAAGACAAAGGCTGTGTACTTTTACTCAAAAATTAACCAAAACATGACGCTGAATGATTTTTGGTTCAGTGATGTCACTTAGAGACAAAGACACGATGGTACATAACATAACATGTAAGCCTCATGTTGATGGTAAACAGGAGGCCCTGCTGATGTGAAAGCCACGAGGTCCTGACACTTAAGCAGCATAGGTCGTGTGAATTGTCACTTTTCATCAACACAGCCAGTCAGAATATGATTGCTTCATTATAACGTGCCAAAACTTAACGGCAAAGTTCATGTCTGAATGCACCATTAGGAGAGCGCAGCACTCATCAGCTTTCCATTTCTTTCAGAGCAGGACTGGAAACAAAAGAACACAGATTGTTTTTATAGACTCAGAGAGGTGTTGTTGGAAAAAGAGGACCACACGCATAGAAGCACCACACCCGCTATTTAGCTTTTAGTTTATTCCTGAGTCTAACTTCGGCGTTGCAGGACTTGGAGCTGAACTTGGACATTTTGAAATCCCCAGCCAAGATGCAGGCAGCCATTCGCTTGTTATTATGAACCCAGGCTGCTCCTTGTGTATTTTGGGTCTGAGATCAAGCGGAACATGGTGACCTTAACCTCAGAACCAAACAGCTTATGAGAGCTCGGACATCCTGAAATTAGAAGCTGTAAGTCGCTGGTCTTCCTCCCTTTAACACTAAATGGGTGAGGTGGGCAGTGCTGCCCTAAAGCATTTATTGCATCTCTGTGGATTTATTTACAAAGTTCACAACAAACTCTCATAATGGAAACTTTATTTCATGGCACAAGCACACCGTATAACACATTGTTCCAAGTACTATATTACACTTTATTACATTATTTCTATCCAACAACAAATTACTCAAATTTACAATGCTGTAACAACACATCTAAAAAAGCCTTCCTGATGAATAAAATGGAACTCATGTACAAAAATCAAAGAACACTGTATATTGCTGTATGAATTACCTCCTGTGTTGTAAAGATTCTGCTACTTTGACAGTCAGGATGGCAGCCCTAATGGTTGATTTCATATGAATATTACTGATCCTAGTTATTCTCACTAAGGTCAAAACCTTTAAATGCAGTTATAATACGTATATAAAATATTGTTTTTCAAATGGTATTAACAAGACAAAAGCTGTGTACTTTTATAAAAAAATAACTAAAAGAAAATACATTAATGTTGTCATTTTATGTACTGTTGATATAAAAGAAATCTTCAACACATTTTTATATTATATATAACACATCTCTTAAAACAAAGTCAGTGGTACAGAGACAGTTCATATCATGAGGCCGGAATATGAATGAAACAGTTTCCTGAGGAAAGTGCTTGGTGACAGGATGGACTTGGATACCTGACAGCAAAGCTAATGTATACATTTTGCAAACATTTTTCTGAATTCAAACCGCTCTGAGACACTGAATGAATGTAACAGGTGCTGGGAAGGTAAAGCCTAAAAGCAATTAAAGTCCAACACCAACCATTTTTTCATATTACATATCCATCAAAATACTGTATGATATCAATAAAACAATTAAAAACCAGATCAGACCGTAGGGGAGAACAGGGTGAGTCCCCCCAGTGACCACACGCACAGCCCCCGGGGCCAGCAGCGACAAACTCATGGGCCCCACCAGCACCCACCATACCAAGAGCAGATCCAGGAAAGGGCACAGAGGTCCGGGCCCCCAGGGCGCACTCCCTCCAGGCCAAAGCCCGACAGGGCCAGAGGCCTCGAGCCCCAGCAGGCAGTCACCAGGCCAGACCGGCACATACCCCAGCGCCCAGCCCCAGACCCCGGGAACCCCCAGCATGCCGGCGGCCAGCCGCACACCCCACCGGGGGGCCGAGTAGTAGCGGGCCCCCAGATAAACCAGCAGGAGGGGCAGCCCAGACCGCAGCCTGACAAATACCCAAACATACACAATCGCACCATCCCACCCTCATCCTCACCCCCACTCAATCAAAGACATACAAGGATGCCACAYTCCACTCATACCCCCGATACACACTCTATACCCCCCCCAGGTCCAGGACATGCACCCATCTCCTATTGGAGGCAGCACACACCCAAACCCAGGAGGTAGACCCAATCATTCGGAGGTGGAGAGGAGCAGATAGCCAAGGCCCGGCCCGGCTATCTCTTTAAAGCCAAATGAGACACTTCACACCCGCCCCGCTCCAGCTTCCAGACTGATCTACTCCAGTTTGATAGAGGGTTTTACATCTATATAGTGGTGCAGAACTTTATTTACAAACTAAAAGATGTCAACAAGGGAAGACCTGTCCATCCAGCCTTACATGTTGGAGCCAGAGTCTGACCCAGAACCAGAGTCTGATCCAGAACCAGAGGGGAATGAAGACCACCAAATTGTAGTTTAAGTTATTTGGCTGTTTCGTCACAAATAATTTGAGGTAATAATTCATAAAACATCATAGAGAAAACTGAATGAGTTGAAAAACATGACCAAAAACAATGTAAAGATATCTTTGCAGCACCAGAAGCGACTAAAGTTTTCTGCACTCCTAGAGACTCCACGTACACCAAAATGTATTTAACAGCAAGAAAAAGAGGATTTTGTATGATAAGTCTCCTTTAAACTCTGTTTAATTCATCAACAAACAAATGTTTGTGTAGTGATTCTTCCTGAATTCATTGTAGGTTTAACCCAGGTGCTCTTTGGATGGGAAAAGAATAAACTTAAATAGATCAGCATAATAAAAGCACCCCTATTCTGCACTCCTTTAAAGGACTTTATGTTGATTGAAATCTGTTGGACTCTCTAAGGAAGGCTTGTATGCTGAAATTTGTTTGAGCTTCATTTAATTTATTTTCCTTTATTTAACCAGATCAAAACCCCAATGAGATCAAGATCTCATCTTCAGTTGGGACCTGAGCTTGTTTTACTGATCTGGATGACTGTCCCACAAAAACTAGACAATTTAAGCACTTTAAAGAATGTCTGCTGACATTATTTTCTGTTTTTCAGTAGATCTAAAGTAAGTAACTTAAGGAAAGAAATGTCATTCTTATTTAAAATGAAAAATTAAAGGGTGCCAAAAGTGGTTAGCTAATTAGCCAGCATGCTGCTTTTCCACGACTATACAGTATATAAAGCCTGCGGAGCCTATGTCAAAGAATCATGTTATCATGGTTATTCCTAATGTACGGAAAGTTTCCTTTGTTAGTTTATCATGAGTCCTGTTTAGAGTGATAATCATTAAGTGGTTAATCATTGATACCACTGACGATATCTGCATGCAGATATCCAGATAATGCATCTTCTAGAGCACAGGTTCTCAAACTGGGGTCCCTGGACCCCCAGGGGTCCATGAGAGGTGTCTTGGGGTTCCTCTAAAAATTTCACTAAATTGTTAATTTGGTTTTTATTTTTAAAAATGAATGGGGAACAATGAACTAATAAACATAAACTAAATAAAAATACATGTTGCCATGGCATTTAGGGGTTGAAATGACAATAAATTATATTTTAAAACAGCATGGGGTTTTTGATGGGGTCCCTGGGATTTTTTCGCCCTTGTAAGTGGTCCCCAGACCTAAAATGTTTGAGAACCCCTGTTCTAGAGCTTTGGTCACAAACACTCAAAATTGAGCTTGACAGTCACAGCCCAGAAAAATACTAAAGTAATTCTGCTTAAGTAGGAACAAGTCTTTTTGCACTTTTTATTTTAAGTGGCTGAGCCTGCTGCCTGAATCAGACTTTAATCTGGATACTGACTGAATGTGTTCAGTGTATCCAAGGCTGCCTCCATTATGAAGGGCTTTGAAGGTTCATCAAGATTAAATGATGAGTTGCTCTTGGAGGTTTGGTGTAAGGTGCAGTCTGTCACCTATTCAGACCTCGGAACTCAATCTTTGGTATGATATGATGCCTTAGCCTTTGCCTGAAAACACCTACCCAACCTAATCAGTGTGCTAGCTCTATGCTTAATGTGAGGAGATTTTTACACAGAATAATGTCCCTTTATACCTCAACAGTGTTGAGAATACTTCATCTCTTTACCAAGGTTTGTGATTCAAGTTTTTTGTTGATATTAACACAGGCTCGGGAAAAAAAAAAAACAAACACACACAAGACACATTTTCTTGTGGCAGCAGCACCGACTGTCATGAGAAAAGGCCCTAAAGTGGGTGAGCGGGCAAATGTGTCTTGGCAGGTGGGCTGGTGGGCAGATGGATTGTGTTTTGTGTTTTGGTGGGTCAATGGATATACAGTACTTTGGCAGGCAAATGGATCTGTTTTAGCAGTCAGGCAGGTGGCCAATTTTGAGGTTAGAAAGAATTATTATAATTTGGAGGATCCAACATCCTTTTTATTATGACAATTTTGAATTTAGATGCATTTGTAATTAGAGGTTCTACTGTACAGACCAAAATTGTTGTCTGTCATGGTTAAATAAATAGTTTCATTGACACCACTACACAGGCTCCATAAGGAAATTTCCATATTTTTCAATAAAATACAACTCAACTTTGAGAATATTCAGCTGTTTCTTGTTAATTTCATCATAATTATTTAACAGCATTGACATATATTACTAGATTAAATGTCCCTGGCACCAGGCTATGAAGATACTGGTCCCTTTCTGGCTTCAGCTTTGGAGATCCCATATTATAATATAATGTTGACATTTAGCAGTCACATCCCATTTAAAATACATGCATATTTATTACAACTATTTGAGGATCAGACAGTGGTACTGGAAGGATTGTAAAATGTCATTATTCCCCCTCCTGAGTCTAATAATAGTGGCTTTAAGACTGGCAAATACTGAGTGTTCTCATTAGATGCTGTACTGTGGCAGGCCTACTGAGAGCTTATCTGTAGTACAAGCTAAATGTGCTTACTCGTCAACAAAATTTACACGGTATGTAACCTGATGGCCATTGTCCCAGGCGTACAAGAGTTTTTCTTTAGGGTTGTAGTCAACCTGTGTGGTGAAAGAGTACTCATTGGTGAAAGGCAAGCGTGGGATTGCTTCAGTACTTGTGTGGGTGTCATAGGCATAGTTCACCTCTCCATCTTTCTGATTGTACACGTCAACAGCATACAAGACACCACAGATAATGAAGCAGTTTCCGTACGATTTCCGCTTGAGACCCGTCCTGTAGGTGGTTTCCTTCTTCAAGGACAGGTCTCCAGGATCCATTTTACTGATTACCATTACCTCTTGTTGGCTGTAGTCGTAGTCCATGGAAGGATATATCACCCACAAGCCACTTTCATCCACTGCAAAATCAATGTCGGAGTGGCCCCTCCACTTCCATGGGGTGGTCTCCTCATAAACCACGTCATGCAGCAGTGTCCAGGCAGCCACATATCGCATCTTCAGGTCATATTTGATGACGTTCTTAGTAAAAGCTCTGTTGTAGTAGAAAGCTCCATTGTAAACCACATGGCCAGTGCCAATCCAGTTGTAAGGCAGTTTGTAAAGGTTACTCCAACGCCCTAGGACAAACAAGAGTAATAAATTACAACTGAAACATTTGCTTATTTAGTACAACTCAAGACAGAATACTCCTTTGAAGACTAACACATTGTATTACAAAAACATAACACCACTAACGCAATGTGTCTAATGAGTGTCCAGGCTGTCAGTGTTTATGCAATCCCCTGTGATGACTGCATTCTGATCCAAGAAAAGCCTGACTGTATTTAGGCATCATTTTTATTTATTTTTTTTCTGTCATTTTCCCAGCCCCAGGCATGCACCCACTTTAATGAGTTTATTCTCTGTGAGTGCAGGGACAGTGCTGAGCCATGAACACAATCCAAAAATCTAATATCCTTTTAAAAACAAAAAACAGTGCTCAAAAATTTGGACTCATCGACTCATAAATAGGTTGGTGTGCTTAAAAGTAGGAGTGGTAATTTATACACACATGTAACAGAGTTGGTCTTATTTATCAGAAATTACATTTTGGAAAAAAAATTGACATTATTTGAAGAGATTTTGGGGTCAACCCCATTTCCTAATTGCAGTTTTTGGACCAGATATACAGTTCTAAGAACTCTCAGATGGTTAAAGGTTTTAAGGACTGTCCCTATGGATTGATTATAAGGACCTACATGTTTGCCTTCACACCAGTTGCCTTGGCCAACTGTCAGCACATGCACACCCCTTACAATGACAACAGTGAAGGATTCCAAAGTTAGAGCTGTGGGATTTTTAAAGAGTGCTACAGTCAGAACTCATACCACAGATGAGTTTACTTTGTCCTGCAGAAATTCAAAGAACACATCATAGCAGACAACTGCAACAGCTAAGTAGCCTATAGGTTAGTGATGCACATGCAGTTTTAATAGTGTGGCTGCAGGATAACCTTTTAAATTACTTGGCTAATACACTGATGTTTGGACTAATCAAATCCCTAATAACTCATGAGCTCCTGATGTGCCCGGAATACCTACTCTAAAAAAGAAGCTAAAATAGACCTAATAATTATGAATGGCCACAGAACCCGTAAAGCAAAATATGGTAAATGGTAAATGGCTTGAACTTATATAGCGCTGTATTAAGTCCCTACGGACTACAAAGCACTTTAAATTTCAATCATTCACACCTTGTTTTTTGCTTCTGCTCTCGGCGAAGGTGGACACTTTTTCCCTCTCTCTTCAGCCTTATCTACCCTGCTTTACTGCATTTTAGAGCCTCCTTTACATATCATCCAACACTAGAAATTATGGATCTGGTCACCTGGTCTCTCAATGCTATTTATCAAATTTTTTCTACATGGAAACTAGTCAAAGGGGAGCCTTCGTATCGTAGTGGGACATATGCAGCCGGGCGCATTATGGATTCTTGGGGGGGTTGAAAGATAATGTGCCTTTCTCCATTGTTGATTGAGGACGTTATAGATAATTACATGATTGAATTTATGATAGCAGTATTTCTACTGATTGGCGGTGGTGGATATCTGGGCTATTGTGAAATATGGAAAATGCTCGCAGCTGTTCGGGCCCTGTGGAGGCTGCCTGCATTGTGTGATGGTTTATGCCGGGCTGTCAACACTCAGACTCAAATGCTGGTGAACCGCAGGCTGGATGGGATCCTCTCTGAGGCTCACAGGCCAGCTGTGGCTCCTAAGCCCACCGGTGGGAATGTATAGATCTTGGAGAAGTTTGTGGTCGGTGAGGCGAGAATGACCAACAGATTCGGCTGATTGGAATTTCGCCACGAGAGTTCTAGTGAGACATTAAGGCAACAAGCAAATCTACACAAGTCAGCCTGTTCCAAAACAAGTTGTGTTTATCTGATTCGGCACCCCAACATGGCCTTTGAGGCTGGATATCTCAAACTCTCCTAGAAGTATGTCAACAGACGTTCTTCCACCATCTCCCTCCTCCCACTCACATCTGTGATTTGGTGTCCAAGAGTAGCCAAGGCCGAAGTGATGAACTCAACATCCCTTCAGGAACTATGGTGGGTGGGGCTTGGGGACTTTTTTCACAGTCATACTCAAAGACGCATATACACATAAACAAAACTACACAGCTTCAGATACACACACCCTCAATTCACCATCTATGCTCACTTACATGTGCTCTATGCAGAGAGGTTTTTTTCAAACCTATATTGTGTCCTTGTTAGGGACAAAGTATGAGATGCTTTTTTATCCTCACCTATCCTCATGTTGGCTTTTCTTTTTTTTCCTAAGGGTAGTGCCTCTTTATGGCTGCAGGACCTGTTTGTGATATTGATGGCCTGCCTGCCTCCTTCCTGCCTGACTGCTGCAGCTGATTTGTTTGATTGGCTTGGTTCCCTACTTAAGGCTCATTCTGAGTCTGGGTCAATGCTGGAGAAACACACCTCCTTGGTATTTACCTCGCAGCTGCTTGTGAGTTGAGTTAAGTATTTTTGTGATTCAAGTTATTGTATTTTTGCCTCTGAACAGGAGACCTTTTGTGAATATCCACCAATGCCAACACCACCAGCACTCCTTGTGAACTTACCTTCCTGGAACCTACCTCACTTGGATATCTGGACCTTTTATCCCCTCTTGGTACCCCCCTCCATATCAGTCACCTCCTCGATTTTTGTAAGAATAAACAAACAAACAAACAAACAAACAAACAAACAAACAAACAAACAAACAAACAAACAGTTACTAAAGAAACAAGACATTCCTCCGAACAACTTATGCACAAAGAAATATTCACCATGCCACCTTTGTCTTTCAGCCCTGCTGGATGTCCTCCTTCACCTGTAAATATCAGCATTGTCACCTGTAAAATAAAATCACTTAACTTTTTGTATATCTGGTCTCTGTGTTCTGTTTTTGCCCCGTTCACCTTGGACTCTGTCTCAGACCTTGTCAGTTTGCTCCAGCCTAAACTAGTCCAAGAGCGGTGCAGAAACAATTCAAGATCCAACCTCCCCATCCCACAGACATTTAGTTTTCACCTAAAACTAACTTTTTGTATTGTCCTGTTTCACTGACTTTGCTTGTGGCTCAGAGGACTCTCTAAGAATATTGCTGAATCAGCCGACCTGCTGCATCCTGAAAGGCTTGTTGCAGCAACAGGCCCTGAACCATTCTCCCAGCTGGCTCATCACGAAGCGGTGTTAAACTCTCTGGTTGAAGAGCAAAGAACCTCCAATCAGCGTTTGGACCAGTTATCCATTCTTCCGCACGAACTTAACCAAAAGCTTTCTCCCTCTACCCATCCTGTTCAGGTGGTCCAGGCCTCCGTCCCGGCAGCAGCAGCTCTGACACAGCCCACACTGGTGACCTCCTGTTTCCGTGATGTTGTTTCCCCCCACTCCTGAAGTTTTTGGTGGTGAGATAGAACTTTTGCAATGTTTCCTGGTTTTTCACCAGTCCCCTCAGTCCTTTCCTGATGATGCTACTAAGATCTCTTATATCATTAGATTGTTAAAAGACAAAGCAATTAAGTTGGGCAGAAGCTAAGTATAATTTCTCTACCATCTTCAGTACCACTTTTGAACAGTTTATCATCCATCCATCCATTTTCTGTACACGCTTCTTCCTTTTCAGGGTTGCGTGGGTCACTGGTGCCCATATCCAGCAGTCACAGTGCGAGGGGCGGGGTACACCCTGGACAGGTCGCAAGTCCATCACAGGGCCACACATAGAGACAAACGAGACAAACAACCATTCACTCTCTCACTCACACCTAGGGACAATTTAGAATTATCAATTAACCTAACAGTCATGTTTTTGGTCTGTGGGAAGAAGCCGGAGTACCCGGAGAGAACCCACGCACGCATGGAGAGAACATGCAAACTCTACCCAGAAAGGTCCCCACACCGGGATTTGAACCGGTGACCTTCTTGCTGAGAGGCATCAGCTCTACCAACTGAGCCACTGTGCTGCCGAACAGTTTATCAGATATTTTGAATTAACCTTCGGCAACAAACATAATGAGACTGAAGTCACCAAGAAATTATGGAACATGAGGCAGGGTGCTAGATCAGTAGCTCAGTTTGCTATTGACTTTCGCACCTTAGCAGCCTCATCAGGATGGAACTCCACTGCTTTCACTAATGCTCTCAATGAACAGCTCAAAAATCAACTATCTTACCGCGAGGAACCCTCAATGCTGGAAGAGCTGATTTCAATAACCATCTGCGTCAATGATCATTTGAGAGAAAGGAAAACAAGGAAAAGAACTACAAGTCCCATCAGCCAGGTACTTCCTCTGTTCCGGTTACTTCCTTTGTTTTTCCCGCAGAACCCAACACGTCCGATGCGGACGCTACAGTGGAACCCATGCAGCTGGGACATGCTTGATTAACTCGGGAGAAAAAGAAGAGACGTTTCGATGAGAACACCTGTCTCTACTGTGGTGACAAAAAACATTATGTGGCTGCCTGTCCTTGTCGGGGAAATGGACGCACTCACCAGCAAAACAAGGGGTCCTGGTGAGTGGTTCAGCTTTTCCCCTTGATCCCTGTTTTACTATCCCCACCACAGTTGTTTTTGGCCAGACTAAGATCCCCATTCATGCAGTGGTGGATTCTGGAGTGGAACCAAAGTTGGTTTCTGAAAGCATCATTAAACGACTCCAAATACCCACTCAGAAGATCGATCCTCCACTCCCTGTGATCGATATCTCTGGACAGGAAATTACCCAGGTTCAGGTCAAGGTACCGGATCTACAAACCGTTACCTCAGGAAACCATTGTGACTCCGGTGAAGTTTTTGTGTTGAACTCCCCCTCTCCACAATAAATTTTGGGTTTCCCCTGGCTGCAGAAACACAATCCTGTTATCAATTGGGCTCAGAAAAGAATACAAACCTGGAGTAATAATTGTCTCCAACATTGTCTCAAGTCTGTGGTTTCTATCCGCCCACCTAAGGAAATCAATACCGAGAGTATTGATTTATCTAAAGTTCCTAAAGAGTATCATGATCTGGCACCGGTTTTTAGTAAAGCTAGAACGCTTTCATTGCCACCCCCATCCCCACCCCAGACCTTATGAC